ATCCATCCATCCATCCATCCATCCATCCATCCATCCATCCATCCATCTATCTATCTATCTATCTATCTATCTATCTATCTATCTATCTATCTATCTATCTATCTATCTATCTACTTGTCTGTCTGTCTGTCTGTCTGTCTGTCTATCTATTTCTGGTCCAGAAAGTCCAGTTGCCTCCTTACAAATGCATGTTTTTATGTAACCACTAGAAGTCAAACTCAAATGAGATTTGAGATTATTTATCATATTGTGAGGTCCTAAGTGGTCTCTAGGCTTGGTTGCGTTCTTGCAGATGTTTCATTAACCAACTAGGTGACATCATCAGTGGAAATATCCTCCTTTATTGGAGTCACCATATTGTTTGCTAGTGTTGATCCTTACCTTGGACTAACAATCATCCTCAACTCCCACTCCGACCTAGTGAATTAGCACCAGAGAATTTAGTGGCATTCATTGCAAATTTGCATGCGAAGGAAATGCCACTTTCCCCACCATGGCTTCCTTCAGAAGTAATTGGATTGCAATGTGTGTTCCTTGGTGCTCTCTTGAGCTTAGTTGTTTTCTTGCAGGCCTTTCATGACCCAACTTGGTGACATCATCAGTATGTGGATTACTATATCTAGGATGGCCTAGATTCACCCATCTGGAAGGAGGTCCAGAAAGGCTTGGATGGCTCAACTTCCCATTTCCCTTCTAATTCTATTCTTCACAACTGTTCTGTAGGCTTCCCCAATCTTCCCTCCCTTTTCCTTTCCTCCCTCCCTCCCTCCCTTCATTTCCTTCCCTCCCTCCCCCTTCTTTTCCTTCTTTCTTTCCTTCCTTCCTCCCTTTTCCTTCCCTCCCTCCCTCTCTTTCTGTCCTTTCTTTCTGTCTGTTCTTTCTTTCCTTCTGTTTTTTCTTTTTCTTTCTTTCTTTCCTTCCTCCCTTGCCCTTCCCTTCTTCCTTCCCTTCATTTCCTTCCCTCCCTCCCTCCCTCACTCCCTTTCTTTCTTTCTTTCTTTCTTTCTTTCTTTCTTTCTTTCTTTCTTTCTTTCTTTCTTTCTTTCTTTCATCCTTCCTTCCTTCCTTCCTTCCTTCCTTCCTTCCTTCCTTCCTTCCTTTCTTTCTTTCTGTTTTTTCTTTTTCTCTCTTTCTTTCCTTCCTCCCTTGCCCTTCCCTTCCTCCCTCCCTTCATTTCCTTCCCTCCCCCTCTCTTTCTTTCTTTCTTTCTTTCTTTCTTTCTTTCTTTCTTTCTTTCTTTCTTTCTTTCTTTCTTTCTTTCTTTCTTTCTTTCCCTTCCTTCCTTCCTTCCTTCCTTCCTTCCTTCCTTCCTTCTTTTCTCTGAAAAACAATTCCCCACGGGGCTAGTTTCTCCCTCGCCCTGCCCCGCTTTCAGGACGACGAGTCCTGGAAGAGGAGCGTGGACGAGCATCGCACCTCCAGGTCCCGGCCATGGGTGTGTGTGTGTTGGGGGGGGGTCTATCCCGGGGTGGGTTGGTGGGAGCCGCGCCAAGCGGGGTAGGTAGGTGGGTTGCTCCCCTTCCTCCCCTCGGAGGAGGAAGCAGCCTCCGCCGCCCTCTCCCCGCGGGGCTCCAGCCTCCCGACCGAGTCCCCGACCGCGGCGCCGGCAGGGTTAACGCGCGCGTGGGAGGGAAGGGAGAGCGCGCGCTACCGCCGCCGCCGCCGCCGCTCCGGCGTGTCCTTCGCGCAGGGCGCTGCATGTGCCGAAGTCTCCCCGGTTCGCTGTGGCTGCACCGGGGAGCCCGCGTCCTGGTCAGCGATGGAGACGGTGCCATGACAACCCGTCGGTGGGCGCGCGCGGAGCAGAGGCGCCCGGCGAGCGGGGCGAGAGGTGCGGAGATGCCAGAAGTAGCGGCACCGGCGGCAGGCTCCTGCCCGCGTCTCCCGCCCGCCCGCCTCTTGCCTTAAGCCGGCCGGCCGGCGCTGGCGGGCGCAGCCTTCCCAGCAGCAGCAGCAGCAGCAGCGGAGCCGCACAAGCCCCGGACGGCCGAGGAGACCGAGACGCAGGGCGGCGGCGTCGGGGCTCGGGGGGGTTCCTTCGGCCGCTTGGCTGGAGAACGAAGGAGCGAGCGCGCGGAGGGAAAGAGCCACCGCCGGGCCGCCTCTCCAAGCGCCCCGTGACTCCTCGCCCGCGGTGGGGACGCTGCCTCGCCTCGCCTGCCTCCTCGGGGGCGCAGAAAGTTTTTCGCCCCGGAGCCTTGCAGCGACTTAGTCCGGTTTGGGTTTTTTTTTTTTTTTGAACCCGGACCAAGAAGGAGAGCTGGGAGCTCCCCGCTTGCCCCGGGACGGCCGGCCCGTCTGCAGCCGCCTCTCCCCAGCCCTCCCCGCGCCTGGCAGCGTCGGGAGACCCTCTGCTGGACGCCCCGCCTCTCCGGAGCTGGATTTCTCCCGGGCGCCCCGCTAACCGTCGAGCAGCCTCAACCCTTCGCCGCCCGAGAAGCGCCTCGGGGTTTGCTCTTGCTCCGCGCTCGTTGCCACCCGCCGCCCCCGCTCTCCGTCAGCCTCGCCTCCGTTTGCCGACGCAATCTACCTTAGCCTGGAGGGACGTCTCTGCATCCCAGGATGGGGGTCGGGGGTTGCTTGGTTCTGCCCTGGCGGTGCCTGGTGGTCGTGTGTCTCAGGCTGCTCTTCCTTGTGCCCGCAGGAGTGCCGGTGCGTAGCGGAGATGCCACCTTCCCCAAGGCCATGGACAACGTGACGGTCAAGCAAGGAGAAAGCGCCACCCTCAGGTAGGAGCAGATCGCTTTGGGCTACTCTTGATGACCTCTAGGGGTCTCTTCTTGCTATTGGGGGTGGGGGGGAGGGCGTTTCCCCGGGTGTGTGTGTGTGTGCAAAATGACTGTTGGAAACGGACCTCTTCCATTGTCCCAAGCCAGCAGGAGCTCCACCCATGGACTTGGGATGTGGTACCCAAGCATGGAGTTGCTTGCTTGCTTGCTTGCCTGGTTGGAGAGGCAAATTCTGGGGAGGATGCAAAGACATTGCCTCCGGGTGCAGGTGGGGGCATTGAAAGACATTTCAAGGCTGGTGTTTAAGATGCTGTTGTTGCTTGTAAAGGAATATGATTGTTGTAGACATGGTGGATCTCATGGCAAGAGTAGTGTGAGAGGGAAGAGAAGGGTGAGGCCTTTCCTATTTTAAAAGGATGGGGGGTGTTGTGCAGTTGGACAGCTGAGTTGGTGTGAACTTGCAGGATGGATACCTTTAAAAGAAGTTCTGGAGATGGGTTGGGTACCAACGTGGACGATGTCTTGGGGACGTATTTGTGAACCCATGAGTGAGAAAATAAGGAGTAGGTCTGCCCTGCATATATACTACCCCTCTCCTCTCTCCCTGCTCCCCAATTCCTGTCGCTGGTTCTAACTGGTTTCTGGGGTTTTGATGTCTCTCCCAAGATTGCATCAATTGCTTTGTATTTTCTGTTAATATCAAATCAGACTTTGACTCCTGGAGCAGCTCAGATGAATTCTGATAGGCTTGCTCTCTCTTCTCTCGCACGCAGTTTTATTTTGCACTCCTTGGCTGAGAAAGAGATGTAAAGTGGCTCATAAACAGATGTCTTACTTTTGGTGCCTGCGTGGGTGGGTGGGTGGGATCGACCATGCAGCCAGCTTTCTCTTTGCCCTCCCTGAGTAAATTTACAAGCTTGGGACTTGTGCAAAGGAAAAGGGAGGGAGATTCTTGCTCTGACAAGATCCTCCAAGGCATCTGAGAGCTTGCAAGGAGCAATGGGCTGGACTCATCATCTAGAAGGCTCAAAGGGATGGATAGTCTAGCAGTTGTACCACAATGCGGGGGGAAAGGATGAGTTTGGGAGCATCTGAAAGAGGAATGACTTCAACGAGTTAATTTAGAGTCCCCTGAACTGGGGTGTAATACACATAGTTGAGAAGTAAGGGGTCCAAAATGGAACCACGTGGCTCGCTGAGTGCGTTGTATGGCTACCAGTGGAAATGATCAAAGTGGTCATCTCAGCTGTAGGTCTTTAAAGGCTGCCCAACGGGGTTGGTTTATTGAGTAGAGATACCAACAGAAATCCCAGTCAATTCCAGAACTGGACCAACCAGAAAGATTTATATTTGGCTTTGGTTCAATCTATAAAAGCAAGTTTCTACTGCTCAGGCCTGCTTTTAATATTTTATTCCCTGCACCTAAATTCTATGTTCCTAAATCGAAGACAAAAGAGGTATTTAAAGGATGGAGCTTTCCGCAATTTTCATGAAATTGTGCTTCGGTGTTTGGGTGTTTGTAATAATCGAGGTCTCTATTCTGTGGCTATCATTATTTCGTTCATATGTATACATGGGTGATGGGAGGGAGGCATTGTATCACAGTGAACTGAAGCCCTGAAGCCTGGATAGATGGTTTCATTTTCTTTGAGAATGTACAGTGAGGATTTCACATTGCCCTGTGCATGTTTTATAGTAGCCTTTCTCACCGAGAAATAAGTCCAGGCATTTTGTCAATTCTACCATGTCCATCCTCCATCTCTCCATGCTGTGACTACTCTGAGTTGTTTTCAGTTGTAAAGAGAAGGTTTCCAAAAAATCTCTTTGGACAAGCCTGTCCATTTTCCTCCCTCCCAATGATAGCCCCGTGCGGTAGGTGGCACCCCAAATCTTCTCATGAGCTTTCATGGACAAATCAGGACAAATATTTAAACAGCTTTCTGTAGTCTACTGATGGTTTATCAAAAGGAAGAGACCATTCAACTGCCATCGGTAAACTCAAATATCGCACACACACACACACACACACACACACACACACACACACACACTGATTTAACCAGAAGTAAGGTCCACTGGACTCAGAGGAATTTATTTCTGCATGGACAAATGAGGACAAATATAAGCAGCTTTCTGTACTCTACTGATGGTTTATCAAAAGGAAGAGACCATTCAATTGCCACCAGTAAATTCAAATCTCTCTCTCTCTCTCTCTCTCCCTTCCCTTCCACCCCCCTCTCTCTCACACACGTTTCACAAATGGGTTTAACTAGTTGTTGCATCTCTTCAACTGCATCTATTTTCTGAATAAGGTGAGGGATCACCCAATAGGATTGTCAACCAATCCATTGAGGGGGATACTTGGCATTGGACCCAAGTGAGGCCAGTTTTGCTGTAGGATCTTGCTTTCTCATCAGCGATGTCCCAAAATTCCGGAACATCATCGGTTGACTTTGTTCTTTGTTCTTCATTATACAGTATTTTGTTTATGGATCAATTTCCTGGTGTCCATCAAGCCAAGGTTTCCAAGATAAGGAAAGGAAACATTGGTAACCCTACAACTGAGCATGGTTGCGGTAGCAGGACAGACTTTAATGGATGAATTGGTTTTAGCCTCTCTGTTTTTCCAACTGTGAAGTGGACTTCCCTTGAGGTGCCACAGAGAAAGTCCAGAGTGGCATGAAATGGACTTTGCTACAATAAATCCACCTTTCCCCAAGGGCCATTGTACTGCTTCCATTGTCCATTTGTGTCCATTGTTGTGTTTGGAATGCTAAGGGAGATGTGTACATTAAGATTGCCCTAAAGGGAGAGATGATGACAAAACATTTTAGGGACCCCTGGTCTAATCTTGGTTTGCTGTTGTTGAACTCGGTGTGTTTTGTGAATCTAGCCCATCTGTTATTTTATTTTTTTTCACTTCAATGTATTGTCTAAATCCCTCAAGGAGGTTAATTTGTAAGCAGATTAAGAATGTTGAAGGAATGAAGCTTCTGAACCCGTGGAAGAGGACACACACATTTTGGAAATGACCACTGCAATTTCTTAAATGGATGCAAATTTTGGAACACAGAGGGGAGCAGGCCGTGCCCTGCAAAGGACCGAGAGCTATGGGAGGCCTCATTCAGTTACTCAATGGCCCATTTGTTGGTCCTCCCAGCTGCTAGCTCATCATTTATCTCCCCCCTTTTTTCCCTGGGACAGAAAGACCCATTGGGGGTAGGCAGACAAATCACACTCCACTATTCATGGGGGAGCCATCTTCTCCTTGGCCTTTTCCAACGGTCTGGTACTAACTATTCCTTTTCTTAACGTAGCAGGAGGGAAGATGATTAAAGTTTTGAATCCAGGGCAGATGGAGGGACAATGAGAGAAAGAGAGAGAGAGATGGCTAGTCCAAACATGGTGGATATGTTTGGAGTTCAGAACTGAACTGCACTCCATTCTCTCTTTTCCTCCCTCCCTCTCCCTCTCCCTCTCCCACCCCCCCTCTCAAACAACTGTTTTGTTCATTGATTTTTCAGTTGTGTAGAAAGCAACTATTAACAAGCTGCCCATTTAAGCTGAGGACAGATGATATGAGTTTGGCTGTTATTGTCAATGTGTATGTGAGAGAGAGGGGAAGAGGGACAACAGACAGAGAGAGAGAGAAGAGAAAGAAAGGGAGAGAGAGAAGAGAAAAACAGAGAGAAGAGGGGGGGGAAGAAAAGAGACAGGGAGAGAAGAGAAAGACAGACAGAGAGGAGAGAGGAGAGGGAGAGAGAGAAGAGGCAGACAGAAGAGAAAGAAAGGGAGACAGAGAAGAGAAAGACAGACAGAGAAGAGAGGGGGAAGAGACACACAGAAAGAAGAGAAAGAGAGGCAGAGAAGAGAGAGGGAAGAGAAGTGAAAGACAGACAAGAGACAGACAGAGAGTGAAGAGAGAGAGAGAGGGAGATAGAGATAAAAGAGACAGACAAACAGAGAAGAGATAGACAGAAAAGAGAGAGAAGAGAAAGACAGACTGAGGAGAGAGAGAGAGACACACACACAGAGAGAGAGACAGAGAGAAATGAGGGCTAAAGATGGTTTGGTAGAGACTCCGTGACTTCTAATGTATACACCAATAAATACCATCTATTATTTTTGCCAAACAGATTTTAATCTTGCCTCAAAAGTCATGCAGAACCTGTTGAGAGGTACAAGAAAAGCTATTTGCAGGAAGCTCTGAAAGGAACACCTCAGTACCTTGAAAGGAAAAAAATGTCTGCTTGCTTTATTCACTAAGCAAACAGGTGCTTTGAACTGTAGAGCAGCCCCCCCCCCCACATGAACTATCACTTTCTGAGTACTTTTGAGTACCTTTGAATAGTTACAGCAGTTGTGGGGTGTTTTTTCCCCTTTCTTCCCCACGTTCATGTAGCTCCTCTGGAAAGGGAGGGGAGGGAAGGGAAGGCTCCATCTGTTTCTCCCTTCAGTATGCAACAACATGCAGCCACTTCATTTCTTTTAGAAAAACGACTATTATCGGGATTACGGTAAGAATAGCTCAGCGCTTCTCAATGCGCCTGGGTGTAAATAGATGTCAAACCGTGGTTTATTGAATAAACTGTGACTGGCAGGGTTCACTAAATCATAAACGGCAACTTAGAAACAATGGCTTGCAAATAGCTGAGGCAAAAACCAAACAATTGCACCTGAGCTTAGCCGATGCTTATGAAATCATCGTCTGAGGGTACGTGGGTTGTATTCACGTAGAAAAAAAGAGGGATCTTACTTAAAAGATTACAATGCAACCCAGGACTGTGTTGGCTTAAAAGCAGTTCTAGGCTGCATCAATAGAGGGACAGAATCATGATCACGTGAAGTGTTAATAACCACTTTATAATGGCTTGGTAAAACCACACTTGGAATACTGCATCCAGTTTTGGTTGCCACAATATATATATAAAAAGATGTTGAGGGTCTAGAAAGAGTGCAGAGAAGAGCAACAAAGATGATTAGGGGACTGGAGGCTAAAA